CGGTTTTAGAAAAACACTCTTCTGTCTTGGTTCCAAGTTTTTTACTATCTCCGATCATCACTAAGAACCATACTTGCTATTGGGTCTCGCCATGTAAGTTCTGAGGGGTTAATATTATGCACCTTTTGCTTCAGAACATTATATAAAGATACATCTGTATTCGTCATAGGATGCTAAAAAAACATATTTAATAAATTACAGAGTATACAAGAATAATTAAAGAATGATTTAACACCTACATTAAGCTTCTCTTTTAACAAATTAATATTCCGTTCTATTTCTTCTCTCATGTGATCGGGTGTTCTTTCTCTGTCCTATATAATTTGGTTAGCCTATAATCAAGCAAATATCTCGATCTATGTTATAAGATACTGTACCATATTCAACACCTTTATCGTGTTTAATCCCACTACACTTTTATACCCGTTTTCCATCTACAACGGATATATTAATTGATACCGGTATGTTAGTTTTGTGATCACAAAAATCTAATAGATAATATTAATTTTGCGCACACGATCAGGTATTATAATTCTTAATCAATACTATTTTGGATGTAGTAGTCACGCACAGTCAGGGAGGAGTAAAAACCCTCGACATCTGAAGGACCTCTTTTTTCCTAACAACATCGCTCTTCCGGGCCAACATTCCCTGACCTTCAGCAGTGACATACCAAAAATGAATTTTGATACAGCCGTAAATTCATCATTGCATGTGGATGATTATCCATGAAAACAGTGTTTTTATATATAACACTAACCTGAGTTAAAACTTCTAATACTTTTGTTCTTCTTTCAGTATTTTCTATTTTTGTTAATGCTGAATTAACCGCACGGTCTGCTAAGTCTCTAACGCTATTGTAAGGAGGAATAATAGTACCTTCCATTGTCAAATAAACAACTGTCACTCCACAGATAGCATCGAAGGATCCTTCCAACAAAAAATTCTCAATTTTTATTACTAAGTTTGACATAGTTTTAGTGAGATAGGTTTTTTTTTAATATAAATAATAAGAATTCAACTAAATCACTATAAAAGTATTAAATATTCATAACCCGATATACTTCCCTTTTTAAATGTTTCCTTTCATGTCTTCCTCCAGATCTATTGAATGAATAATGCAGATGAGATAAATGCCAAGAATTTCTCTCATAAAGAAAATGAATGTATATAATAAGAATAAAAATAGAAATGATATCATTTTCACGTGACTTCCGCAGTAATTTGGTTTGGTTGGATCGGCAACGTAGGACCTCTCTATCGGTCCTTATTTTACTATCTCAAAATGTCATCTAATCATTGTGTATCACATAGACTTCATTTGGCTGGAAAAGATGCTTCAAATGAAGTATTATATTTTGA